TCCTTTTAGGATTCACTGAGGAAAGAGGCAGGGCGTTCCTAATTTCCTTGTCACAATTCACAAGAATCTGTCATCTTTTTCTTTTCTTTCTTTTTTTTTTTTTTTTTGCAGGACTAGGGGGATTGAACCCCAGTTCTTCACATTGAGCTGTATCCCCAACACTTCTTATCATGTGTATTTTGAGCTAGGGTCTTGAGAAGTCACTAAATTACTTAGGCTGAGTGTGAAGGTTTGGTCCTCCTACCTCAGTCTCCCAGAATGCTGGGACTACAGGCATGCAGAAGCATGCTCAGTCCCTCTCCAGTATTTTTATTTTGAAGTAATTCAAACTACAAAAGGAATTTAAAGGAATAAAGGCAGGTGTGGTGGCACACACCTATAATCCCAGCTTGGGAAGCTGAGGCAGGAGGACTGCAGCAAGTTTGAGGCCAGCCTGGAGTACATAGTGAGTTCAAGGCTAGCCTGAACTACATAGCAAGACCCTGACTCAAAAAAAAGAATAAAATGAATCCTGTATATGTCTTACCTGCAAGTTAACCAGTAACTGTTGCTGCATTTGCTTGCTATACTTTTTATCTATTTGAAAATAAAGTGTTAAATATCATGACATTTCATCCTTAAGTATTTATTCCTTGAATAATTTCTAAATATACACACAATGCAGTATCATATCCAAGCCATGTAACACTGAAAAGATGTTACCTAACGATGGTTGCTTCAAATTTCCCCAGCAGTCCCAATCATTGACTTTTATTTTCCTACATATAATTCACATATCATAAAATTTGCCCCACTTAAGTGTGAAGTTCAGGTTTCCAGTATATTCACAAAGTGTACAACCATCGTTACTAATTCTAAAACATCTTCATGAGTCCAGGAAGCAGATACCTGGACGTAGAAGGAATCACTTCCCATTCTGTACCCCACCACCTGCAGCGACAGGTAATCCGCCTCTGCCTCTACAGACTGTCCTCGTCTGAGCATTTCATGGAGGTGAAATCATGTAAGAGGTGATTTCTGTCTGCCTTCTTTTCCTTAAAATAATGTTTTCAGGCTTCATTCATTATTTGGAAGGCGTCTATATTTCATCCTTTTTGTCACCTGGGGGGAGCTTCCTGGGGATCGGATCCAGGCTCTTTGTCGTAAGCTACATCCCAGAAATTTTGTTTGTTTTGTTTTCATTTTGAGCAGGGATTTGCTAAATTGCCCAGGCTGGGCTCAAACATGTAATCTTTCTGCCTCGGTCTCCCAGAGTGCTGACATTAAGGGCAATGTGCTGCCACTCCCAGCAATTAATTCCTACTTCTGAATCTTATAGTTCACATTTTATTTATCCACACATCAGCTGATGAATATTTGAGGTGTTCTATAGCTTTTGCTTAAAGTCAGGATCCAAGCAAGGACTACACAGTACATTTAATTGTCATGTTTCTCATTTCTTCTGATCTACAACTCTAATTCTAGAATGTGAATCTAGTTCCTACAACACTTTTTCCATCCTTTTTTTTTTTTTTTTTTTTTTATCTTTAACAACAGTTAAAAATTCTGAAGATGTAAGTTGGACAGTGCCCTCATAGATTTGTTTGATTATTCCCTACCGTTTGGTTCTGGTTAGGCAATGTCTGCAATTGTGCCGTAGGGGTTGGTGCAGGCGAACAGTGGGCAGGCCAGGAAGAGAAGCAGTCAGCATCTCCTGAGATCCAGCCATGCTGGAACTTAGGGTGCCGAGCAAGAAAGCAACCCGCCCTCCTTCAGGGTACGCAAGCCAGGAAGCGAACCAGTCAGCATCTCCACTGAGCCTACTGGCGCGCGGGCTGAAACTCAAACCTCCCATCTTGCCCCTCACCCCGTTAGCAACTGGGGACCAGAGGTCTGAGCATCTCTTGGGAGGATGACCATATGCCATATAGCAAATATAGCAAATATGGGGGATTTCCTTCTCTTTGAAAGCAAACGTTGTTTTTACTGTTTTGCTTTGTTCTAATTAATTGTTTTGCTCTATTCAATATTCTGCTTTGATAGGTTTTATAATGTTCTGTATTTCATTTGATTTTGCTATACCTGATTGAATGGACAACTACTGTGAAGATAACGAGATACACTATGGTACCTATTACTGTTATCCGGGTATCCTGCTGTGAAGTTCTGTACCAGTTTCACTGCACTGTCTCAATTGGCTTTGTTCTGTTGTATTTTACTACCTTCAAAATAAAAGTCTAAAAAAAAATAGTGCCATAGGGGTGACAGCATGTACATCACATAGGCACATGTCAGTTTGTTGCGGGATGGTTACATCTTGTTAGATGGTATTTATAACACAGGAACCAACTAAGCCCTCTAACTTCACTTGCTTTTAATCACTTGCTTTTATCACCAAGTTTATAAGTCACACAGATAAACACAATGTACTCCCTTTAGCTTTGCCATAAACAACACGTCTGATATATGGGCATGGTGATAAGGGTAGCCCATTTTTCAGGAACTTGGTAGCTCAAACCAGTACCATCACTGGGCTTTTCCCTGTGTTTATGCAAGTGCCCAATGAGTGACCTTATGATGTCAGATGGCCAAAAACAAATCTGACTTCAGAGCAAGCTTATACTGCCATTTTCTGAACATACATCCTATGATGAGCTATGAAGTCTGATTACCCAGGCACAGATCACCTGTGCCTGTGAGATATGTGATCTCACTTTTCCTTGGCTCTAATCACCTCTGCCCATTCCCCACACCACCCTGTTTCTTTTCTTTTTTTTTTTTTTTTTTTTTGTCTTTTTCCTTTTTATCAATACCGGGGATCGAACTCACGACTGCCTGCTTGCAAGGCAGACGCTTATGCCGCTGAGCTAAATCCCCAGCCCCACCACCCTGTTCCTTTATCCCATAAGAACCCCCAAGCCCTATCCTCAGGGAAGCAGACTTGAGACATGAGTCTTCTGTCCCTTCACACTTGGCCACCTTGTGGATAAACACCTTTCTCTTTTGCAGAACATCTTTTCAGTGGTTGCAGTAGAAAAGACAGAATGACCCTGGTTTGGTGTTTTAATAAGGTAAGTACCATTCAGTAATACTTCAGGATGTATGGGTATTTCCTTATCCATACTCTTTAACCAAATTTTTTATTCTTATGTCTTTTGCAGTGCTGGGGACTGAACCTGGGGCTTCATGCATGCTGAGTAAGTGCTCTGCCACTGAGCTGCGTCCCCAGCTCCTACACAATAGTTTCAGCATCCAGTGACAACCTCTGAACCCAGGGTAGTTATGTGCTGCTTAGCGACAGAGATATGTTATAGAAGTGTAGTCAGATGATTCTTCATTGTACAAATCTCAGAGTATACTTTGGAATGCTACAATGACTACCATGGCTCTACAGGATATAAAAGTAATGTTATGGTATCATCTGTGAAAATTCATTATGTAGCACAAGACTGTATTACTCAAAAAGTCTTCCAACATGTTTGACTGTAATTCCTGAGACATACAGACACTGACACTGAAACAAAAAATAAAACAAAATTTTGTGCCATTGTTATCGTTTCTTTCTCTGTAAAAAAAAAAAACTTTCCCTACTAGTCCCCATTTTTTTTTTTTTTTTTTTTGTCTTTTTCCTTTTTATCGGTACCGGGGATCGAACTCACGACTTCCTGCTTGCAAGGCAGGCGCTTATGCCGCTGAGCTAAATCCCCGGCCCCCTAGTCCCCATTTTTTAAGTCACTACTTTGAACCGAAAGATTTTTTTTTACAGTCAAGTGTGTTAAAATTGACATCACACTTAATATTCTTTGGTTCCTCAAACTGTCTCAAGTTTGGGAAAGAGAATCCACTTTGAGTTAGTCATGTATCTTTTCGACATGTTCCCACCAGTCTTTAAGGATGTCTTTATTTTGTGACTTGAGAAATGGGGAAAAAAGTCCAAAATGTTCTTCCTACTCTTGCACAGTTATGTGACACTTTATTTCTGACATCAGATGTGCATGTGAGTTCTTCCCCATATACCAAGCCATTCTCCAGGGGACACCAGCTGCGAGTCCTCTAATTCAATTCAATTAATTCAATTATGACACTCTACCTGCAGATAACATCAGAACTTTAAGGGCTCAGTCGGGAGATGACCCCTATTTCTGATGTCAAACACAAGCCCAGGTTGTGACCCACTTGCTATAAAATGGGGTTATTCCAGATGCTCTCCTTGGGTTTAATTTTCTACAGCAGCTTACAGAATTTAGGGAAACATGATCCTTATGTTTACCCACTTATTACAAAGGTTATTTCAAAGGATATAAATGGTTGGCCAGATGAAGAGTGAGATCTGGAGGGCGCCATACTCACGAGTTCTATCCCTGCGGAGTTGGAAAGTCCAGCTTTCCTGGCACACAGAGGAGATCTTATTCATCAACCTGGAAGCTCCCCAAAGCCAGTCCTTCCGGTCTTTTATGGAGGCTTCATTATGCAGGCATGATTGATGACATCATGGGCCAATGGTGATCAATTCAACCATCAGACCCCCCTCCCTGAGGCCAAAGGATGAGTCCAAATTTCTACTCTCTAATCACATAGTAAGCGCCCTGGCAAACAGCCCCTCATTCTGTGGTTACATAAGGACTTCCCAAAGTCACCTCATTAAGAAAAGAATCCATTAATTCTTTCCATCCCTACCGTGGCCTGGTGTGGGGCTCAGAAATCTGAATTTTTATCACATTTCTAAGTGGTTCTACTACAGGGAGCTCATAGATCATACTTGGGAAAATGACCGTGTGCGGGCCACGTAGCTGATACGAAGGACTGGACCAGGAACTTAAGAGTCCTTGAGTCCACGGCTGAGCTGCACCCCTAGTCTTCTCTCCTGCATCTTTCGCTTACTCATGTTCAGTTTCAGTACAAATGTCCCTTTGCTGTGCCTGCCTTCCCTGCTGCTCTGAACACAACCGGCCCTTTCTGTTACCTGCTTTCATCACATCCTGCAATTCGGCACAGCACACAACAACCTGAAAATTACATACCTTCAATTTGTAATTAGATGCTTAGTGTCAGCCTCCCTGTGTGGAATGGAGCACCAGAGGGCAGTAACCAGGGCCTTTGCAGCATGCTCAGGGCCAATACGGGCAATCAGTAAACGCCTGTGGACCAAGTACACAAGTGAAGGAATTAGAAGGTTTTTTTAATACTGACTTTATTATCAAATGAAGACGGAACAGAACACAGAATTCATAAATAATGAATATAGAATCAAGTTCATTACCAAAATGAATAATTGGATATCCCACTTCCTGTTCTCAGCATCTTTCCTGGGGTCCTTGGAAAGATAGTTTGCATAGAGGAAATTGCACTTTAATGACAAATTTGGGGACAATCTGCTCAGAATAAGCAGGAATTCATAATGAAATTACGGCCTCACTAAGGCCTCTCCTCCCACTTCCTTCCCTTCTGGCTTCAGTTGTCATCTTGAGCTGAAGCGGCAGCATCCTCTCCTTGCAGCCTCCTGCCAATTTCAGGAGTGCAGCACCAGGCAGGACGCCTCCTGGCTGGGGAGGGCGGGCACTTCCCCTCGGACGTCATTAACTGTGTGTTCCCCAGACGACATGCATTCGTCTCCATCCTAAATGTGAACCCTAAAGCTCCTTCACAATTTAACCTCAGGCAAAATAAGCATGAAATTTTACATCTAGAATTTATGTTCATGTATTAAAAGATGGGAATCAGGGTTATGTTGTTTCAGATATTTATTTCTCTAAATTAGTGACTGATTCTGCTGGAGAAATTGAGAGAATACGTGTGAGGGAGTGAAAACAGGGGCTGCTCTTTTTCGAAGGCTTCCAGAGCTTGATGGTGCCCCTGGACTTGAGACAGCAGCAGGTGTTGTTTAAGGGCGCACTCCTGAGAATTTCTTTCAGGGCACCGTCCCCAGCACATTAGAGTAACAAGACATAGAGACAGGAAGAATTAGCAACTTTTCAGTCTTAGCCAGATAGAAGAGCATTGTAGAATCTGAAATCTATGTGTCTCAGAAATTAAGAGAAATACACCTGATTCTTAGAAATTGGGTCAAGCTTATTTTCTTGTGAAGTTCCGTTTGGTTCTGGCATTGTCCTAAATTTGGAAGTGAAGAGGGATGGTACCGGGGGTGACCTGGCACCAGGCCTGCATCTTCAGCCCATTCAGTCCCTTTGTTGGGTGCTCACTGGACTCAACTCACCTGCTAGCAGAAGATGGGAGGTCATGGTACCTCTTCTCGGTACCTCAGTCTGATCAACCATAAGGCAGAGACAATAATATATCCTGGGGACAACAGAAGACATTTTATATCATTGTTTTGGGGTCGGAATGAATGAGATAGTCTTGCTTCCCATGATAATGACAGCAATAAGAAGAATAACAACAGTGGTAGCAAGCTCTAACATTTGATAAGCACTTAGTAAGTGTTAAGGACTAAGCTAAGCATTTCACGCAAATTACTTCAATTCTCAAAATAATCTTTTAAGGTGAATATTATTAGTACCTCATCAGTTAGGAAATTGAGGCTTAAATAAATGAAACACCTTGTTCAATATCACCCACTGAGTAAACAGTGATAGTTGGACTTTAACCGCTGAAACTCTGTGGCCCAAGCTCTTACCATCTACCACTCTTTCAAAGAGGTTCTGTCTTTGGGGGAAAGGGTAGTAGTGGGGAAAAGAAAGGCAAGGGAAGCAAATGATTAGACACACTCTGACTGGAGGGTTCCCTACAGATTATGATACGGAGCACGCTGTGAGAAGGAGCTGGGGAGGGCCAGCCACCATGCAGGAAGCCTAGGGAGGGAGACTGACCAGGCGGTGAGGAATCAGTGGGCGCTTACCAGGCATTCTGAGTCCAGGTCAAGAAAGGAGGAAGAAAAAGAAAAACAATCAGAGGAGACAAAAGACCCAAGATACAAAATAGCAAGGACAAAGAGGAACAGCACAGCATGTCAGAGGAACAGAGGGAACGGGGTGCAGGGCTGGAATGTGGGAGCCTGGGGACAGGCCCAGAGAGAAAGGTGGGAAAGCTGGTGAGGTCTCTATGTCCATGAGGCCTAGAGTCAGCGCAAGACAGCTGTACCTGATCTACTAAGGACTTGGATCCACAATGGATCTGGATATAAGGAGGGAGGGGAAAGAAGAGAGAATGAGCATGATGTGGCAGTGCATGTCTGCAGTCCCAGCACTCCGGGGTGCAGAGAGAAGATGGTAGGTTCGACCTGAACCGAGGCAACTTAGAGACTTAGTGAGACTTTGTCTCAAAATAAAAAATAAAAATGAGGCTGGGGATGTAGCTCAGTGCAAAGGTCTTGTGTTCAATGTATAGAAAAGTAGGAAGAGGGAGACAGGAGAGAAGAGAGAGGAAGGGAAGAGAGAACCAACCCAAAGAGGGAAGGAGACGGCAGGGAGGCTGCTGGAACGGTGCTGGTGAGAGGCATGGGGGCGAGAATGGAAGGAGCAGGGGCTGGGGACTTAGCTCAGTGGCATAAGTGCCTGCCTTGCAAGCCTGTGGTCATGAGTTCGATCCCTGGTACCGGTAAAAATACAAAAAAAAAAAAAAAAAAAAAAAAAAAACAATGGAAGGAGCAGGAGACAGAGAGGACAGGAAGATTCTAACTTAAACAATATTTGAAGAGCACTGATTAGAGAGGACAATAGTCTTTAAAGATCTTTGTTATGAGGCAGGGCTGGGGAGACCTACCATATCTCATGTAGCCCCCTCAACAACAATTGAGCTAGGGTCCATCACCAGGCCAATTTCATGGCCTGGAAAAGTAGGCTCTGAAAAGTGAAGGGGCTCACTCAAGGCATAAGACAAGTGGAAGCAGAGCCAGGATTAGGAACCAATGTGGTCTCGCTGCAAAGCAGGGCTTTGGTTTGGTTTTGTTGTTTTCTCTTTGGGGTAAAAGGAAAGGAGAAAGAGGAAGGAGCTGAGCATGAGGCTCAGGTTTCTTGGTCAGCAGACCAGAGGAACAGGAAGGCCAGGAACTGGGATACGTATGAGCAGGCATGGAGGGAAGATGAGACTCTCCATCCTTTATACCCTTGAGTAGGACACCCTGTTGATGCCATCCAGTAGGTAACTGGAAATACGTCAGGAATTGGGCCACGAATATGGAATAAAGTTCCTGGTGAAAAGTCTCAGGGAAGAGGCAATCAAAGAGAATAAGTGTCAGGAGAACTAGGCCTTGACCTTCAGAGGGCATTGGCTGCTAAGGGCCAACCAAGGAACAGAAGCTGGAGAAGCAGTCTGAGAGCAGCAGGCTAAGGGACCTGTTGCGGCAGGAGATCAAGAAGCAGTGTGCTACAAGAGAGACAAAGTGGTCACAGAGTCTAAGTCAGTGCAGAAGTCAAGAAAATGAAATGCTCTCTAAACTGAATTATTAGTATACAGTATCTATGTCTACAGTATCTATGGGGAGAACCCAGCAAACTCGATCCTGTAACAGAGGTCACAGAAGTAGCAGCGTGACAGCTAGAGGAAATGAGAGGGCTCAGGACACTGCTGCTGGTCTGTTTCAACATGCAGACACGAACATGTTTATAGGTAAAGGGGAAGAAGCCAACAGAAAAGGAGGCGCTAAATCAGTAAGACAGACCTGATTCCTGGAGGGCGTAGAAAAGAAATGAGAATACTAAAATCAGTGACTAAAATGCACTCAACAGCTAAAATTAATGAAGGCACTTTGATGTTTTAATTAATTGCCACATATTGACATAAAAAGGTAAAGAACAAAAGTTCTGAGAGCTCAGAAACAGATCTCTCTCTCTCTCTCTCTCTCTCTCTCTCTCTCTCTCTTTCTCTGTGTGTGTATATGTGTGTGTAAACTCAGTAAATGAAATAGGAAATGCTCTCTCAAGTTGGGAGGGTGAAGGATAGCTTATTCAACAAATAATCTACTTATATCTGTCAAATTACTTTGGGAAAAACTTAGATTTTCATAATATATGAAAAACTTCCAGTAGATTAAAGATTTAAATCTATGACATGAAATCATACGTGAAAATATCAGAAAAGCATTTTGGGAAATAGTAATATAACCTTGGGTGGAGATGTTTCTCTAAATGTCTGGATATGTCCTCATGGAGCCTGAACTTGGCCTCTCCAGAGGTGGTTTGGTAAACAGGTTGAGTGTTGAGCATGGACCTGGACCTGGGGAGCTGGCAGTGAAAGGCCTTCAGGGCAGAGCTGCATACGTATCACCTGGAATGGGACAAGGTTGCAGGAAGGAATGAAAACTTAGATATTGACTGCAATGGACAGGACAGCAGTGAGATGTCAAAGCCTGCTGCCCCCAAAGTTTCAACGGCAGAACACGCAAAAGCGAAGTCCCGGCCACCTCACCTTCTCGGCACCTCCTTGTTTATATGAGGCACTTTTCATAAATAAGAAGTAGATTAAAAAGTGATTCAGGGGAAGATTCTGGTAAGACAGTGGTATTGCCACAGTCTTTGAATGTCCCTGAATGCCCACAGAAAAATAGACTCCAAAACTAAAATAGCATAGAAAGTATTTACAGCAGACTAGGTGTTATAAACATGGTAACAAATTTTGCAGTTCCTCCCATCAAAAGCTGGAATCTGATTTCAGTTCTGGCCTTTGGTTAGCTTTCAGCAGTGACATGCAGTAGAAATGACACCATATGACTTCAGAGCCTCGGACTTGGAGGTTTGGTGAATAACCTAGGTCATCTGTCCGGAGACACCTCCATGAGTTCACAGATACTTCTGGATGCCTTTTGATGTGGACAGGAAACCAATTCATCACCTTAGCAACTTGATAAATAAAGAGAAAGCATTTATCCTACCTTTTTTAATGTATGAACTCTGCAAATAAGCAAGGAAAGAGTAAATGGGAGAAAGCATCTCTTTATAATAAAAATACTCCAATGAATATATGAAGAAAAAAAGAAATTAGGACATCATCATTCTACAATCACCAATGAATGAAGATCTTAACAAATGCATCAATAGCTACTAAGATTTTCAAAAGAGAAAGTGACAATCAGACTACATGCCTCTTCTAGTATTTCTGAAGGGATCAGGCTTACGTCTGCCCGAACCTCTGACTCAGTCAGTGCGCAAAGGACCAGTGTCTACGTGCCAGGGGACTGCAACCAACCAAACCTAGACTGTGGGAAAAGCCATAGGTTAAAAACAGCTTGCATTTTCAACAGCAGGATCATAAAGGAAATAATGAATGGTGGGAAATCTATAGACACTAAAAGGAGTTCTTTTGTCCTATGCTATGATCACACCCAGGGCCTTGCACGCGCTAGCCAGGTGCCCTACCATGAGCTACATCTCCAGCCCTGAAAGAGTTTATTTGAAAAGGGAACGACTAAACTATAATATTGAGACAAACATGTGAAGGTGATAAAATTATTATCAAAAAAATAAAGTGGTGGAGATATGGCTCAGAGGTAGAGCACTAGCCTAGCGTGAATGAAGCCCTGGTTTCAATCCTTAGCACTGAAGAGAAAGAAAAGAAAAGAAAAGAAAAGAAAGAAAGAAAGAAAGAAAGAGAGACAGTTTTGATCATTATGAATTTAGAAGAGCCCTCAACAGAAGGCAGCATGATTGGGGAAGCACAGTGCAAGCTCGGTAATTGATGGGGTGCCCTCTGCTTTAGTATAATTTATTATACTGTACACTACATGTATTTTGGGATATGCCCTGTTTCTGGTTTTCTGTTTATAATAAGGAAGTTTATTTTAAAATGAATTCAGAAGAAGAGGGAGCAGTTTTGGTTTGTCTGCTCTTGTTCCATCTTTCATGGCTGGAGAGGATGAAAAGGAAGTAGGAGCTTGCCAGAGAGAAGATTTCCCTAGAGGGATTCTGCACAATGGGAATGGCATTCTGGGGTGACTTAGAAAGCAATTAGGTGATAATGGCCATACTTCCAAAACAGTTATACAGACTTAATGCAATTCCATTCAAAATTCCAACAGCATACCTCACAGAATTAGAGAAAATAATCCTAAAATTCATCTGGAGCCAGAAGAGACTAGAATAGCAAAGGCAATTCTGGGCAACAAAGGCAACACAGAGGAAATCACAATCCCTGACTTGAAATTATACTATAAAGCTACTGTGATAAAAACAGCATGGTACAGAATCAAAGATCAAAGGAACAGATTAGAAAATACAGAAATAACTCCAGACATGGTGAGCCACTTTATCTTTAACAAAGGTGCCAAACACACTCACTGGAAGAAAGATAGCCTCTTTAATAAATAGTGCTGGAAAACCAACACTGTACATACTAAAGATTTAAAA